GGGATCTGAGGGATCGGCGCTGACGACTTCGCTCGGTTCTCCCTTGCCCCCAGAGCAGCTGAAGGATGTGGCATATGGGACCAAGACGGTACCCTTTCGACCAGAGGAGGGTGGCCCGTCCACAGGAGCAGAGCCTGACCAGGCCCCCAAACTACGGAGTGGGGAGAACCTCTTTGAGATCCACATCTCTGGCGCGGTGCTGTCGGCTGAAGCCTTGCATCTCCTCGGGGACCCCGAGCCCGTCACCTTCTGCACCTACTCCTTCTACGACTTCGAAACCCACTGCACGCCCATGGCATGGGGTGGGCGGCCCCGCTACAACTTCACCTCCCAGTACGTGGTCCAGGCGGAGCCCCTCTTCCTGCAGTACCTTCAGGGGGCCACCATGCGCCTCGAACTCCACCTGGCCTCCGCCACAGACCACACCACCTTGGCTTCTGGCTGGCTGCATTTTGGTGAAGCGCTGGGCGGTGGGCAGCAAGTCTATGCCACGGCAGCCCTGCATGGTGAGAATCACTTCTCCTCCACAGCATCCTAGCCTGTTCACTCATGATCTTCAGTCCTTCTGGGAGGCCACAGGCAAAGCAAAGTGTCTCCTCGGGTGCTCGTTTCCACCCTGGATAATCCAGAATCTCCCAAAGAACTAGAAAATCAGAAACTTTGGCTGAAATCCACCACAGTGGGACCCGCCCCCCTTATCCAAGAGATCAGTTTCCACTGATTCACTTATCTGCGGTCTGAAGATATTAAAAATATTAGAAGAAAAATCCCAGAAAGGTATATTTCTATGATGTCATTACCAGAACTGGCCACCGGAAGGAGCCAGAGACCATGCCATGTATAACATTCTCTATTATCCATGTTTTGGAGCAGGCCAATTGAATCAATGGAACATAAGTGTTGGCTTACCAAATCCTCCCTGATTTAATGGGCTTACTTTAGCTGCCATTCGCTGTTGAATTTTAGCAATCACTAACTTTATCACCCCAAAGGCAGTCTAAGAAAAGTTTGCCATTTAAGCTTTATTTAAGGTAAAGGTAAAGGCTCCGCTTGACATTTAGTTAAACTCTCGGGCACGGTGCTCATCCCCTTTTCCAAGCCATAGAGCTAGCGTTTGTCCATAGAAAATTTCCGTGGTCACATGGCCAGTGTGACTAGACACGGAACGCCATTACCTTCCCTCTGTGGTGGTATCTATTTATCTACTCGCATTTTTACATGCTTTTGAACGGCTAGGTTGGCGGGAGCTGGGACAAGCAACAGGATGGTGGATGTGATAGGCTTTGTAGTCAGTACTCTCCATCGTTCACTGGATGCCTACCAAGAAGCAAACAGGGGACATAGATCAGTCCCATTTCATTTCTTTGCTCTGTTCTTACTTCTTCATCCTGCCTAACTTGCTTTTTACCCCTTCACATCCCACCCCACGTGAATTCCAGGTCCCCACGGGGAGGACTATGGCCTTCTGGAATACTGGATGCGTCTCCGTTTTCCGATAGACCAGACGCTGAGGCTGCACCGTCAGCGGGCCAAAGCTTTGGGCTACCTGTCGGCCGGTGTGCCACGTCCCGCTGCAGTCCACGAGGAGAGGCCACAGCAACAAGAGGGGGTGAGGAGAGAAGAGCTGTTTTTTTTGTGGTGCAAAATGACTGTGTCCGTGGTTCTAGTCCTTGTGGTTTTGGCAAAACCCAATCAAGTTGGGGAAGAAGAACCAGCAGATTCTACTAAACTTTCTGAAATCAGGATTCAAAACTTCCTGGAGGGAATTTTGAGTTCTGGCCTTTGTCAGCAAATGCCTGTGTAATTCTGAGTTTTTCCTGTTTGAGTAAACAAGATGAACTGTAAATATTATTTTATGATGATGATTTTTGACCCCTTGACTTCTTTTCCTCCGGCAGGGACGGAGGCCTGGGTGGAACGAACTGCATGTACGGATCGAAGGCTGTGCCGGCTTGCGCAGCCGGTGGCTGGGTGCCCAGCCCAGCCCTTACGCCGTGTACAAGTTCTTCACCTTCCCAGATCACGACACTGTCATTGTCCCTTCGAGCAACAACCCCCATTTCGGAGACCGACAGAGCTTTGCTTTGTGTGCCACGCCGGAACTGCACCATTACTTGCTCCTGCAGAGTCTGGGTGTTTACGTCTTCGATGACGAGGACGAGGAGCCCGGGAGTTACCTGGGCAAAGCCCACATCCCCCTCGTGCCCCTCGCACAAGGGCGCAGCATCACCGGTAGTCTCGTTCACAGACATGCAGAAAATGCTTGGGACTACAAATCCCAGAATCCCCATATCCAGCATAGCTCCTTGTCAGCAATGGTCGGGAAAAGGCCACATCTCCCAACAAGGCGTTGGCCTGAATCGCCACTGTAGTTTAGAAGCAACTAGTTACAAGTCACAGGCAAAATCCAAAGAGAGAGAAAAAAATTAAAAATAACACACACCTTGCGGCACCTTAAAGATTACCTTTTGTACAGTAGGACCCCCATATCTGCTGATTTCAAGCCCCGTCCCTGTAGATACTGAGAAACGCAGATTATATCAAACACTTCTGCATTTTAATAGTGAATGTTATACATAGCATAGTCTCTGGTTCCCTCTAGTGGCCTGTTCTAGCAACGACATCGTAGAAATGTATTTCTTGAGCAAATGCTATATATAGCATGGTCTTGGGCTCCCTCTAGTGGCCAGTTATGATAACTTTATCTTTAGAAATATGTATTTTTAGGATTTTTCATTTAATATTTTAATATTTTCAAACTGTATAAGTGAGTCAGTGGATACTGATCCCACGGATAAGGGGGTCCTACTGTAACAACAACAGGTTGCTGGTCACACACTGTAAAAAAAGAACAGGAACCAATTCCTTTTGCAGAGTGACTTCTCAAATTCCAACAGCTGCCTTAACCTCTTGTCTCGTTTTGCCCCTTTCCAGGTGACTTTGTCCTCACTGATCCGATGGGGAAGCCCAACGGTTCCATCCGCCTGAGTCTAGAGTGGAAGCTCCTTTATAGACCGCCGGAAGAGGGTCGCCTTGAGGCGCTCCAGGAGCAGAGGCTGGCGATCCAGGAAAAGCCAGCCTTGCTGAAAAATCAGGTGAAGAGGCTTGGGTCGGGGGACACCTCCTGCCTGGATTAGTCCTGCAAGCGCTACAGCCCTGCACTTGAGGGCAAGAATGGGAAAAGGTGATGCCCCCTAGGCTGTTGAACTGAAATTCCAGCAGCCTTCCTTAGTCAGGAAAGGGAACAGTAATGGAGAAGAATACTGGGATATGTAGTCCAACTACATATCAGTTCCTTCTAGATCTACATCTAGAAGGCTGCACTTTGCCCACAATTTCTGTAGCCCAAGAAATTTATTTTCAAGAAGGATATTTATTTATTTATTTATTTTATTGTTTATTCTGGGCCATTTACAACCTACAGTGGTGCCTCGCTTGACAATGTTAATTCGTTCCAGCGAAATCGCTGTAGAGCGAAAACATCGTCAAACGAAACAAAAAAAACCCCCATTGAAACGCATTAAAACCCGGTTAATGCGTTCCAATTGGCTGAATACCTGCTCTTCCAGTGAAGATCCTCCATACGGCGGCCATTTTCGGTGCCTGCATAGCGAGGAATCCATCCTAGAAAACAGCGGGGGCCATTTTGAAAGCCGGGGGCCATTTTGAAACCTGACGATCAGCAAACAGTAAAATGAAAAATCGATTTCCGAAACAGGGAACCGATCGTCATTAAACGAAAAAACAGAATCTAAACATCATTTTGTGATCGCAAAAAACTCATCATAAAGCGATTTCCTCATTAAGCGAGGCAATCGTTAAGCGGCGCATGACTGTATATGTGCATACAAATGAACAGTAAGAATTAAAACACAATCATATCAAACCAAATGGTTTCCAAAGACAATTTTTCCAAATATTAGCGGGACAGGAGGAGAACATTCAACCAGGATCGGCGGAAAAGCTCTCCCTGAAAAGCCGTGTTTTTCAGTTGCCTCCTGAATGCCAGTGGGGGAGGGAGCCAGGCGTCACTCCTCCGGGAGCTGGTTCTGTAAGGTTGGTGCCTATGCAAAGAAGGCCCCGTCTCTTGTGGATGACATTCGGGGCTCCCTTGAGGGTGGCTACATATGGAGAAAGATCTGGTGGGCCAGGCCCATTGGGGAACAGATGCTCTGACAAGGAACATGATCTCAAACCATGGATGGGGTTTTCACATGAGTGTCACATAATCCCAGAGGTCATTTTGAGTGCCAGAGGTTGGTTGACTCCCCACCACCACCACCTTTTCTCTCATGTCTGTTCAGATCCCGAGGGAGACACGCGGCAGCCCTTTGCTTTCCAGTCAGCAGAGGAAGAAGCCACGGCTCTACCCACCCAAGGCAGAGAGGAAGGCTTGGAAACCCACACCACTAGGAGGACCAGACTGCCTGCCTCCAGGGCCAGGAACTCCAACGGTGGAGCGTGCGGAAGACCGCGCAAGAGAGGATGTGGAAGGAACCGTGCAGGAGGTGTGAAATGTGCTCAAAGATCATAATCCAGTCTTTGTATTATTATAGTCAGATACCTAAAGCATCGAACTATCCAGAGAGAGAGAGATGTGTGCCATCCATCCATCCTGCTGACTTCCCAATGCATCCATCCATCCATCCATCCATCCGACTTCCCAATCTGTAACTCTACATACCCCATTATCCCCTGCCATGCTGGCAAAGGACAGTGGGAGCTGTAGTCTAAGCCACCTAAGGGTGCTAGGTTTGGGAAGACCCCCTCGAAGAGACACTAAATCCACAGCACATATAAAGTCATACAAATGGAAGTAGATCTGTATTCTCGAAGGAAGTAGATTTGTTTATTTGTTCCACTGACGTAAAGGATTCTGTCCAGGTCATGTGAGGGCCTCACTCAAGCAGGACTGTCCTGTATTTTGGATTTCATCACCCAAAAACCCCCAGCGGCCATGGCCAAGTGTCCATGAGGGTACGAGGAGCTGTCATCTAAAAGACCTGGGGGCCCACATACCACACACCCCCACATCCCCTCTCTTAGACCCCTGACTAACCCGAGGCTTGTGTCTGCATAGGTGTCACTGGAAGAGTTAAGAGAAGAGGCACAAGACAGACCGGCTGTGGAGGAGGAGACGATGGCCGGAGCTTGCAAGGAATCGGATTCTACCTCAAGCGCAGTGGCAGAGGAAGGACCGTTAACGGACATTGGTACTGTGACTGGCTGGGTCAAACGGACCAGATCAGGGCACTTAAAGGGGGAAAAATGAGGTGGAAGGACAGGGGATGCTGGAAGTGTAAAGTATTAAGCATGGGAGGCCTTCAACGCTGAACTTTTTCAGCCCTGGAAGGGTTAATCATGGCGTAGTGGTTAAACGGCAGTACTGCAGTCGAGTCTCTGCTGATGATCTGAGTTCAATCCCAGGTAGCCGGCTCAAGGTTGACTCAACTTTCCATCCTTCGGACGTTGGTAACTTGAGGACCCAGATGACTGGAAGGGCATTGTGTAGCCTGCATAATTAAAGTCTAGATTGGCCAGAGGGTGCTTTGCGTGCTATGGGGAGGTATATAAGCAGCACACTTTGCTTTGTGCTTTTTTTATTCTGAACCTTGAGAGATTCACAGAAGCAAGCTTCTCTGCCATGAAACGATTTGTGTAAACACCCAACCGAAGCCTTCAGAGTTTTGGCTTGTCACCAGCACGAAATATTTCAGGCGAAGGCATTCACACATTTAAATGCCGGAAATCATTAGCCAAACCAAGGAAGGAGAGAGGGGGGAAAATTGCAAAGCTTTTTTTTTTTTTTAACAATTACATTTCTCAAAGTTTTCCAGCCAGCACGGCCTTTAGTCATGCCTAGTGGGAAATTTATTTTATGTTCTACAATGCATGTGAGTGTTGTGGATTGTGGGTCAACCGTATGATCCACTTGCTTTCTCTAGAAAACTAGAATACAGTACCTCAGGATGCCCTTCACATATGTAGGCTGTCTCTATGTGGTGCCCTTGTGGGTGTGTACGCTGGACTACGTTTCCCATCGTTCAAATTCAGCCAGCTTACTGAGAATGATGGAAGTTGTACATCAGGTTCACCACCACATTAAGGAAGCCCCCCTCTTTAGTTATTTTACTGCATTCATCCTCCATTTTACTGTTGGAAAAGTCGCCTGGATTAGCTCGCGTTAGAAACAATTCACCCTTTAAGCCATAGATTCTAAAACAGACACGACACAGAAGGAAAAAGGGAAGAGGAGGGAAGAGGAAGAGGGCAGATCTGTGCGGTTTTTGCCCAGATCTTTTTCTTGTGTCTTGCTCACAGCCTCAGAGGAACCTGAGAGCACCAGCGATGACCAGAAGACCGAGAGCGATGAAGTGGTGCTGGGCATGTCTGAGGTCCCGGACCTTCAGCTCCTCGTAAGTATTCTTTTGCTGCTGAAGTGGGAAGCCATGTAAACCTTTAAAGTCGGATACAAAAAGAGAGATCAAATCTCACAATGATGAAAATGGATTTTGTTCTCAAAAGTCATCCAACATATTTTGGGTAGAAAATAATGTCCTCGGTCAAGGAAATGTTGAAAGAGGACCTTCTGAAATTTTAGGGTTTTTTTCCCTTTCTTTTGCTTTTGGTCCTCTTGCATGTTTCCAGTTCCGTTCTGTCTCTGAAAGTTTAAAGCCCCCCTTTAGCTTTGATTTGGCCACTTCAAGGGGCATCAAAATCATCCCGACGCAAATCTTGGAAAAGTTATTTGTTCGGACTTCAGCTCTCACCTACCCATCCATGCCCCCCCCCCTTTCTGGCAACTGTAGTTAAAGAAAAACTTGCTCTGCATCTTCTAAAGTTCATTAAGCTACACAGTGCTGGGAAAAAAAAACAGGTGATAGAGAATAGAGACGGTGGGTATGTCTCGTGGCATGGTAGTTAGACTGCAGTACTGCAGCAAAAACTCTGCTCACCACCTGGGTTCAATCCCACGTAGCCGGATCGAAGCTCCCTCATCCTTTCACCATTCAGAGGTCTGTAAACTGAGCACCCGGCTTACTGGAAGGGCACTGTGGAGCCCACATAATTAAATCGTATGGGCCAGTATATGAGCAGCACAATTTGCTTTTGCTTTTTAAATGTAAAACAGGCCCCAGAGAAAAAGAGTGCCATATTTTGAAATCACTTGGGAGTGAGTTCCGTGACCTCTCTAAAGTAACGCGGATCATCGCCCAATTACACACATATCCTTACATTTATACTGCAGAGCCCTCTTCTCTGTGGGATCAATATCTGCTGATTCACTTCTCCACGGTCTGAGAATATTAAATTTCTTCAAAGAAAAATCCTAGAAACGTATATATTTTTAAAGAGGAAGCTCCCAGAAGTGGCCACTAGAGGGGGCCAGAGACCATGCTATGTATAACTCTCACTATAAAAAAGCATTCGGCATCATCTGCACTTTTCAGTATCCACTGAGTGGCTTTGAACTGATCCTGCACCAAATAGGGGATCCTTCCGTTTTTCACTTTCTGGTCAAGAGATCCTCACTCTCAGATTATTTTAGGAAACGGTTCTAGAACAGCATGGAAACTCACTGGGCTTCTTATTCTTTGCCATAGCCTTCAAACAGAATTCGGGTAGAGATCATCTCTCTCCGCCTGCACCCGGAGAGTGATCCTGTGGTCAGCGAGCTCATTCAACAGCTCTACGTGGAGTATCATTTCCCTGGAGTGCCGCTGGAGGAGACAGAGACCCCCTTCTCGTTACGGAAACCGCAGGGAGGCCAAGAGGTCTACTTTCACTTCAGCAAAGGTACGACGATTCTTCCCCATTGGAACGCATTAAACAGGTTTCAATGCATTCCAATCTGGAAATGCTTTTTGCTAGACAATGATTTCGCTAAACAGCGATTTCAGTGGAATGGATTACCATCGTCTAGCGAGGCACCACTGTAAAGTCATCCCTTCTCTGAAACTAAAGGCTTCTTTCTGTCCCAAAGGGGCTGTTTCTCATACATGCACATACACACTAACTGTAATGTTGGCTCTGAAAGGAAGATATTATTTGACAAGAGCTACCATCCATACAAGGCAACCCGTAGCTCCCCAGAAAACACTATGCAACCTCTTGAGAGTCACGACTGCTAGGATGGGAAATAGTTTTACAATAACGTCGCTTTCATATGGCTTACCTGCATCCATGCGCTCCGCCTGAGACGCTGAAGCACCGTGCCTGCTGACAATGCTCTGCAAACAGCCGCTTCTCTCATACGTGCTCACAAGAACTCTCTTCCTGCAGTGATCAACCTGGATCCGGACCCCGACAGTCTCCAGAGACGGCTCCTGTTTTCCATGCTGGACTCCAAAGAACCTCAGCAGAACCGGTACATGTCCAGCTTTCCCCTGAAAAGCCGTGGGCCAGGTCAGGGAATGCCGGCTGTTGGGTTCACAAGACTCTTTCCCTCAACGCAGGCTGCAATTTGTCGTGGTCAGTGAACCCCTGCCTGGGGCTGGAGGAGAGTGCGAGGATGTGGGCTTTGCCTCTCTGGATCTGAGAGAGATTCTTCTCACTGGACGCGATGCGCGCGAGCAAGAACTTCCCGGTAAGCACCGTCCCTATAGAGCTAAGCACACAGCATTCCAATTCGGTTAGAAAAATCAGCTATATTGGCAATTCCTTTAGCGATGCTAACCAAAACAGGGCAAAAACCTGTTGAGGATCTTTGTTCTCGGTTGAAACTGGGTTCCCTAGGCATCCGGTTTTGCCAGGAACAACTCCTATGTGCACGCTAAGAAGAACAAGCAGTGGCAAATAAACGTTCTGGTTTGAAAGCCCAAACAGCACCCTTTTATAAACTCAGAACTTGCTTTAGCCAGTGGAAAAAGCCGACGGGCTCCTTCGTAGGTAGACATAATCTGACTCGGCTGTTTTTGCAAGAATAAGGTTGGAGCAAATTCTGGATGTCCTGCGAGATAAAGCCCTAAGCAGCCCAGCTGGGTAGTGTGACCTTCCTTATAACCTGTGACAAACCCTTAGAAAACTGCAAGTTCCCATTTCAAGGGTTGAACATATGTTCTTCCATTTTGCAGAGGGAGCCGTGTTAATCTGTTTCAGTGTGTCTAACCCACAGAAAGTCTTCCAGCACTGTTAAGACTAGCCGTTTTATTTACCCGCTGAGCTTTTATATTTATTCATTGCGTATGTTTAGTCTTAAAGATGTGGTCACATTTTTGGACGGCTCCATTTGCTCCAGGCGCTTGCCCTTTTATACTCTTAATAATAACAGGCAGTTTAATATCTGAATCAAAAAAATTTTTTTTTAAGGTGTCCCTCCCAGTTTCTGCCCCTTACATGCCTGACTGCAAGAAACAGCCATGATTAAAAAACAAACAAACTAGATTCTCTTGCTTTCGCCAGCGTGGCTACAGACATTTCTTAGCAAAAGGGCAATGGGCTTTTAGATGTCTTATCTCTTTCTCTCTCTCACCAATGGGAGTTGTTCCTTTAATGGAAAGTGAGAGAGTTATTTCAACCCTTGTTGTTTCAGTGCTCAGTCCTTTTGATCCCGACGTCCACATTGGGGCGCTCAAAGTCTCCACCGAAGCAGCGGCGGCCCTTTCCGCAGTCTATTATGCCAGCCAAAAGAACAGCAGGAATGGATGAAAAGAACAGGAACCACCAGAGTTCGGGGATAAAGAAGGTGCTTCGTTCACCGCGTGTAGATATTAAAATGAGGAAGGACGCCAACCAAGAAGTAAACTTTCCAAATACTTAAAAAAACAAATTTTTATTGATCAGTTTTTCCAAAGTCAAAAATACTGAGTGCTAACGGCTACGGGGGAGGGGGGGAAGAGAAGTTTGAGAAAGCCTCTCCCACCCAAACCTGGCCTGAACCAACAACCCCCCTAACCCACCAGAAACAAGGGTGATGGGAGGTTAAGCGATGCATTCAACCCTCCGGTCCTTTTCCCCAAACCCTAAACACTTGCTCACCACCAGACTCAGCAACTGAGAAAACAGATAAATACAGACGGAGCTCGGCTTTTTTTTTAAAGGAAAAATAATAAAAGGACAAAAGCAAGAATATTCCTCTCTCTCTCTCTCTTGATTGCTTCCTCTTCCAACCCTGGTTTCATCTAAATGGAAACGGCCGCCTTCCTTTCCATAACTGTTCCAGAGTGGAGGCTCCATGTAACCACTAGGTGTTTGGCTTGGAAAGGAGAATGCAACAATCTCTCTTCTTCATCGGCACAAAAATGGAAACCGCCCCAACCATTTAAAAAAACAAACACCAAAAAACAAAAACCCAACCCTGTGGCATCTGCCTCGTTGAAATAGATGTCCTTATTCAGGAATAAGTGAGAGGGCAAAATGCCCCTCCTTGCCCCCCCAATTGGCCTAAGTAGTGCGGGGGGGGGGAGCCACTGGGAATCAAGGAGAGGTTTCAGAGGGGGAGGGCAGAGCCCGTAGCAGATCTTCAAAGGTGGGAGGGCAGAGGCCATAGAAAACAGGTGAAGGGGAACGGGCAGGGAAGAAGGATGATCAGGGACACCCAATGCCTGAGCCTCACCCAGCTCTAAGACGGCACCCAACCCAATCCTTCTTCTTTCCTTCAGCAAAGACTTTGTGTTCATGGTTCGCAAACGAGAGCCCAGCCCAGAATTCTCTCACCGCGTCTGCTTGGTCCATACAAATGGTCAGAAAAAGACTCGAGGAAGAAAAACAAGAAACTCCCCAGAGAAAATGGGGGGGGGAAGGGAGGGGGAGGGCAAGTGTTGTGTATGTGTGTGTCTGAAAGGTGAAAAAGTTTGTAGGGAGGGGGCCAGCTGCCCCCTCCCACCCCAAGCGTTGGCTGCTGGGCAAGGTCTGCACAGCCTCCCCAGAGAAAGATGGGCCGATGGAAAGAACCGCCGTTTGCCGGCTACTTCCTTTTCTTCTTGGGGGGAGCCGAGCTGCGGCTGGGGCTGCGGCCGTGGGAGCTGCGGTGGTGCCTGGAACTTTGGGACGAGGATCCGCCCTTCCTCTTGCGGCTGACGGTGCGGCTCCGCTCCTCCTCCTCCTCGTATCGGCTTTCGCGGTCGGCTGCGGGGAAGAGGCCAAGGAAAGAAAGGGTCACGCACACGGCCCCGAGAGGGTGACCGACCAGAGCGGAAGCAGACTCGGACAAGAGAGAAGGCACCCTCAAGAATGCTTTTGCGACACTCTCCCCCCCCCGCCCACAGAACTCCCCTGCTAGAAGGGGAAAAAAATAAGTGATAAATCTCTTACCTGGAAATCCTCTGTATTGACCTTCAGCACGCAAACAAACACACATGTACAGTGTACAAACAAACCCAACTTGCAATCCTCTGTATTGACATTCAGCATGCACACAAACACACATGTACAATATACAAACAAACCCACCTTGGTTCAGATTGGAAGTGGACTCCCAGTTTCTTCCAGTTTCATTGTGGCACCTTTTGAGGGGTCTGTTTGGCTCCTCCCTGGAGGACCCAGGAGCCGAAAAAGTCCCGTTCCCCGCCCCCTCCCCCCCAGACCAAGCTCAAGCTTCCTATCACAGCTTAGTTTCCCCCCTGGCTTCCTTAATACCTCCACCTGACCCCCGAGCATCCCTGATCTTGTCTAATTTTGGATGCTAACTAGGATCAGGCCCGGACATCTCCAGGGACGAAGGGGCGCTTCAGGTCACGGGATGAGCAGAGGGCTTTTTTGGACAAAAGGCCCCAACTTCAATGCCAAGCATCTCCAGGCAGAAATTCTGGGCAACCCCTGCCAACGGTTCATGGAAATACCAGGCGAAGAAGACCCAGCTTCTGACCCAGACCTAAGGCAGCTTGCTCCTTTCATAAACAGCCGATGAACGGAAGCAGGCTGATTTCATTCCTGCCAAGAAATGCAAAGGGAAGAACTGGAACAAGGAAAGCGCTCATACCTTTCCGTGCTTCTTCCTCCAGCTCATCCCAGTCTTTGCCTCGCTCCTCTTCGCTGCCCAAGGATTCCTTGGAGTAATCTGCCAAGAGAAGGGGGTTCAGAATCAGAGGCCGTACATCACATGGGGCAGGTATCGGCAAACATAGGCTCCTCATCTTTTGCCAGGCCTTCTCGGCTTGATTTCACCGCATTTCCCCAACATATAACAATATGGATCCAGATCACTTTAGTTCTTCTTAATCCTTATTTGAAACCGGTGGGGTTTAGGGTCAGGAATGCCAAATGGCAGGACGGATGAAATTTATTTTCATATGTTTAATGAAAGAAACAAACTTTTAAAACAGGTTAAAGCTCAAAGACGTCACTAAAGATTAGAAATGATAAACTCTCAATTCTCCTTTATAAGAGAACGGCCAAAATCCTGTTGCTTGGCATAATTAATCACAGTACAACAGGCCCATTGAATCAATGGAGATTTGGTGAGTCAACTCCTTTGAAAGTTCCATTGATTCAAGCGAGTCGACTCTTGTTGCGACTAGCTGTGGACAGAGAAGGGAAGAAAGAAAAGAACTTCCAAACCCAGAATCCTCTAGCCAACATGACCCATCACCACGCTGGCTAGGGGGATTACAGTTAAACAGCACAAAAAACTTTCCCCAAGCCTTAGGGAAAACTGCTAAAGCAGGCACCCACAAAGACACATGGCGGAGAGTAGAGGGGGCGTCGGCGTAAAGAGGAGGACCACCATCTCCTCTTGAGAGGCCTTTCTGTTTCTGAAGGGCAGCCGCCTCACCAGTTTCCTCTGCCTCTGAGGAATAGTCCTCATCGGTGTCCTCCTCTTCATCATCCTCTTCCTCGGAAGGGTTGAAAGTCTCGTCTTCCATCTCGGACCCTGAGCCTCCAGATTCAGCGTCGCTTCCCTAGAAGAGAAAAGGAACGGTGGCGAAGCAGTTTCATCCACAGACAAGGGAATCGGAGCCGTCTGGATGAAGGCTGTTCTGATGGTGAGAAACTTAATCCAGGATGACAGTGTCATTCTAAGGGTCTCCAAAACTGCAAAGCATCTTACAGTTCTGCTATGTTCGGTCCATACAACGTAGATATGGGGGGGGGGACTGGCATTGTTGGGGAGGGAGTAGTTAGAGGCTCAGTACTCCCACATTCATGTTCTGGAGAAATGTGCCGCTTGCATTCCCAAGCTGTGTAAGTCCCAAGACTGACTTCTCCCCGTCTTCTCCCACCTTGGCATTTCTGCCTCTGAAGTCGCTATCCTTTCAAACAGAAGTCACAGGAGGATGAAGAATGAATAGCTCTTGGGTTTCACTCTCTGCTTTAGACCCCTGCCTCCCTGCTTTTGGACCCAACTCCACCTACCTCTCCTTCGGGCTCGAGGAACGACCACCCGCCTTGCTCAAAAAAGCCTTCCGGGTCGTCCATGATCGTTTTCATGACTTTGGTCCAGTTGAGGGATTGCACCCCTTCAGTGTATTTGATGTCGCAAGAGCTGGCGGGGAAGGAGAGGGAGAGACCAGATCAACACCAAGGGCTGAAAGAAAGGGGGCTCATCCCCCATCGTTCAAGGTACCACCACCCCACTCCCCACAGTGCTCTGTGTGTGCATGTGTGTGTACTGATCACGCTACTGCGAATTCCCTGTGCCTTTGACTGAAGTGCATAATGCTGGAATGAGAACTGCTGTTCTCACGTTTTTTGGCCCACTACTTTCTGCAGCCCTCGCCAGCGGATGAATGGTTATGGGAGCTGTAGTCCAAAGGTAAACGGGATGGCCAGAGATTCCTGACCACCGGTATAAAGGGAAAATGCTCCCTTCCATACAGGACCCTTGGCACGGTTACATTTATTTATTTAACAAATCACAAACAAGGACACAACAAATCACAATGGCCCCAAAACACACAACCAATTAAAGATCACCTAAACAGCAAGAATCGAACAAATATCTAAAAATCAAATAACTGATAAAGAATAGCAACTGTAAAATAGTTATAAATATCAAATACAACATTAGGCGACAAAAACGGGGCGAGTTCATAAGCACAAAGACGAAAAAAGCCCAGCTGTTCCATAGGATGAATGGGGTAAGGCCGCCAAAGGCTTGTGAAAAGAGCCAGGTTTTAATTCGTCTCCTAAAACCAAGGAAGGATGGGGTTTATTGTGCCTCAGGTGGGAGTGAGTTCCAAAGGGATGGGGTGACCACAGAGAAGGCCCATTGATACAGCTGACAGAACCTGTCATGCTGTGTTGGCTTGGAGCAGTGACACCCCCCCCCCCACATCCAGAGCGCAGAGAAGCAGAAGGGCCTGCCAGCGGTACACCCAGCTGCTAACCTGCAGGAATGGTACAGCAACGTCACACACCAGTGACCTCAGCCACCCACCCGGCACCCAAACGTACTTGAGCCACTCCTTGATGGGGTCAAGAGAAGCCACAGGAATAGCGTTGATCATGGTGACTTTTTTGCTATAGTCCTTGTAGACGATGACCATGTCGAAGTTCTTCAAGTGGAACTGCACGCGCTCAAAGTGAATCAGCTCCACCTCATCCAGCGTCACCACAAAGGGGGGCTACGGGTGGGATAAAGCAGGAGTTAGTTCTTCCATCTGAGCACATGAGGATAAGCCGTCAGCGAATATGATCATGGGTAAGAAGTAGGGCTTGGAAACCACAACACAAAACACCAAGACCCTCCTGTCAAACCTCCTTCCAGTTCTGCAGATCTAGCGGGAAGAGGATTTATAAGGCTGACGTCATCTAATGGCTCCCACATCTTCAGGTTCCTGGGTGGGATGTGATACCTGAGTCCCTTTCACCCCCAGCAGCACTGACATCCATCCATCCACCCACCCACCTTCCCATATCTTTTCCAAGCAAGCCATGCTTAAACTCACCCACTCAGTACAGTTCACGAGGGCACTGCTGGTTGGCTGGAGCAGGCAGGTGCTTCTGTAGGGGGCGCCGTTGAACCTGATGCAATTGAGTTGGGAGGAGAGGGAAAAGAAAATGGAGGGAAAAGCATTAAGCAGGAGCTGGTGCAAGGAGAAAAAACCCACTAACCAGCAACCAGGATTGCCAATCAAGAGTCCATAGCATCCCCGGGAAGCCAGAGAACCACGGAGGCAGAAGGAAGAGACAACAAGGCCCTGTGTCACAAAGCATGGCTCCTTGCTGATGCGGATGTTATGATACTTGAGAAGCCTACGAACATTCTGGGATTTTTGCTCCAGTATCTGTCACATAGGTCTGGACACTCCTCAGGGCAACTCAACCCAAACTCCTCTCATCCTCTGCTGTTTGTCCCTCAACCATCTCTCTCCCCATTCATATCATCTTTCAGAGAAACCTGGAGAGCTGACTCAATATAAAGGAACCCTTCCCAGTCCTTACCCCAGATCCCGGAAGGGCACCTCGAATTCCAGCTCCTCCTTGGTCAGAGACTCGACCTTCTCAATGAAGTTCTTGAAGGCCGTCTTCAGCTTGTGCCTCATCTCCCGCTCCATCTGGATAAGGAAGGGCCAGCGAGTGTCAGCCATGGCGCCCGGCAAGAGCCCCACTCAAAGGGATCGGCTTCCCACCTCCGTCCCCCAACTCGGACGGGGACAAAAGCCACCGCCCCTCTTTCACCTGCTCAGCGTAGAGGTCATCACGGTCGTGCATGTGCTGGTGCTTGCCCAGGTCGGTGGTGATTTCGCCCACTTCGGTATAAAACTGCACGTCCGTGTGGCGCTTCTTGCCGAACATAATGGCGTTCTGAGAGCGGGGACAGCAGGAGCGAGAAGGGAGGGGGGGAAAAAACGGTCACGGCTCCGAGTGAGCGTTCTGGCAAAAACCCAAAACGACATCCTAAGCTAATAAAGCTCTGTACTGATAAAAGCTTAAAATTATAGTAGGGGAAAAGCTTTATATTTTGGGAGTAATTCCTTTGCGCACTTAGCTTAAAATTATAGTAGGGGAAAAGCTTTCTACTTTGGGAGTAATTCCTTTGCACACTTCAATGGTTCCCAAATTTGGGTCCCCAGATATTCTCGGACCAAAACTCCCAGAAGCCTTCACCCACTAGCTGAGCTGGCTGTGGAACTCCCATCCCAGAAGCCTTCACCCACTAGCTGAGCTGGCCGTGATTTTTGGGAGCTGTAGTCCAAGAACATCTGGAGATCCAAGGTTGGGAAGCACCAGCGGGCTTTATTATGCTTCTGCTAGCCTTGGAGAAGCTGGCCGGCCTCCGTCTATTACCAAATGAGCTATTCTGCTTCGACTTCGGAGCTTCCAGTGGAAACTGTCTATATAGGAAGCCTTCACCCACTAGCTGAGCTGGCCGTGATTTTTGGGAGCTGTAGTCCAAGAACATCTGGAGATCCAAGGTTGGGAAGCACCAGCGGGCTTTATTATGCTTCTGCTAGCCTTGGAGAAGCTGGCCGGCCTCCGTCTATTACCAAATGAGCTATTCTGCTTCGACTTCGGAGCTTCCAGTGGAAACTGTCTATATAGTTTCAAAGCTTCTTCTCACATGTAGGTAATTCCTAAGGCAGGAGTTGGAAATGTGTGGCACTTCACACGTTGTGAAGTACAACATCCCCAACATCTATCCTCCTGGTTGGGTTGCCTAGGTCTGATAGAAGTTATACAGTAGGAACCCGTATCTGTGGATTCACTTAGGCACCGTCTGAAAAAAATGTTCAATATTAAAAGAAAAATCTTAGGAATATCTATTTTTTTAATGCCTAGGTCTGATAGAAGTTATACAGTAGCAACCTGTATCTGTGGTTTTACTTAGGCACTGTCTGAAAATTTTTTAAAATATTAAAAGAAAAACCTTAGGAATATCTATTTTTAATGATGAAGTTACCAGAACTGGCCACTAGAGAGAGCCAAAGACCATGATATGGCAGCCTAGGTCTGATAGAAGTTATACAGTAGCAACCTGTATCTGTGGTTTTACTTAGGCACTGTCTGAAAATTTTTTAAAATATTAAAAGAAAAACCTTAGGAATATCTATTTTTAATGATGAAGTTACCAGAACTGGCCACTAGAGAGAGCCAAAGACCATGATATGGCATTAGCTATTTTACCAGAACTGGTCACTAGAGAGAGCCAGGGACCATGATATGGGGTTAGCTATTCAAATAGCATTTGCTATAATCTGTGTTTTCTAGCATCTGTGTGGGGGAAGACCTTGGAACTGATCTCCTGTGGACAAAGGGGCCCGAAGGTCATTCAAAATCTGGAACTTCACCCACTCCCCAACCCATTTTAGAAAATCTTAATTCTGTAGCTACCTATGCCCAACACTCTAGGTATAGAATGTAAATCTGAATGCCAAGAGGCAATTCTTCTGTTTGATGGTTCGGACAGGAACAGAAAAGCCCAGTAAGTAAGTTTGTTTGGAAAGCAACAGACTTCTCCCCTATCTCCCCTGCAATAAAGCCTTATCTGCTTGCCACTCTCTCCTAGCTCAAGGACGACAGGTACCTTGAGGTGAAAGTGCAGTACAATGATCATCTCCCCGTCGCAGGGCTGAAACACAGCGTGTTTGATGTTGTTGTACAGGATGTCTACTTTGTCCCCCCGCACAGAAGTGAAACGGAAACCTGCCAAGAAGAAAGGCTGAATGAGAGAAAAGAAATCCGCCTGGGCTCAGCTGGTCTGTGTCCTAATACATCGTGTCCTAAATCCTGGCCAAACCTTTGGGCCCAAGGACAGAAGAAAGAAGCCAACCCAGCTGAAGAACAGCTCAGGATCATTTAGAAGATGTGAACGGCCTCCTTCCACCCTCGGAATATGAGAAAGCCTCTCGGCTCCCACTGTACCATTGACGTGGGCCTCCAGAGAGCCCTGCATCCTTTTCTGGGCGATGTTGGGGCGGATGTAAAGGTCCTTCAGCTTGGGATTGCTGCGGTTCAGGTTGATCATCAGAGAGTCTTGTTTGACAATCCCCTGGGAAAAAGGAAGAGGAACAAAAGCATCAGGAAACCAAGCACCGGGCAAGGCCACAGCCCTTCAGGGCGAGATGCTCTAGCTCGGACGCAGCAATCCTGCTCAGCTCCCTATGTCCACCTTTCCAAGTGCCCCTCCTGCTCCCTGCAAAACCCTGCAAGGACTCTCTCACCTCCTTCTCTTTCTCCTCAGCCTCACGGGTTTTGTAGCGCTTCTGCACCTCCTTGATGATACGGAAAGCGTTCTGGAGGTTGAGAGCGGGCACAGACTGCTCCCCGGGGGTTTTCAGATTAGAGGCGCGGTACGTTCTGGAGGAGACAGCAAAGGCGGAACGGGAGAGAGAAAGAAAAAAATCAGTGCTGCGTGGGCAGATTCAGGATGACAAGCTCTGAAAATCCAGTGCTTCGGACGACAACAGCAGAGACGGCTTTTAGACGCCTCATCCCTGGGAGGAGGGAAAGCAAGGCATTCGGGAAAAGACAAAACTAAAAGGTGAGCCTTTCATAAGACCAACCCATCTGACCAAGTGAAGAGGAAGGCCACGGTTTTGTGATGTATGGATGGCATGAGGCAGTGGACAAGTTCTGAGGCAGAGAGAAGAAGAGACGTTCATTCATTCATTCATTCCAGGCCTTTGTATACCACCCAATTTAGTGCAAAGCACTACTTGGGGACTTGGCAATCATTTACATAACCCTTCCAACTAATATTAAACCCACCACTCCATCTCCCTCGGTCAAATCTCAAACAGCCCACCCAAATTCAACCTAACGCTCCAAAACCACCCCAAACGTACACAGAAACCCACAGATGGCTGATGGACAAGCCACGCTCCAAGTGGATGAAAATCTCTTTATAGGCCTCCTGGAGGAGAATGTTCTTAAGCAAATTCTTAAAGCTGTGGGGCCACAGCAGAAAAAGCCGGGTTCTTCGTGGACTCCTCCTGCACCTCCCTCAGAGTGGCTGCCCGTGAGAGACTGGATTGGGTGGTATGGGCTGATGTTCTTTCTTGGCAGGCACGCCAACAGATAACAGGGCCCCCCAAACTATTCCTCCAACCCACTCCAAACTACAAGACGATACCATAAAGAGGTAAGGGTTATGAGCAACGCCACACCCGGCAGCCCACGTTTTGGTTAAGAACGACTCACATTTCTTTCACAAAAGTGGCTTCAGGATTTGGGAAGATGTTTCCCTCATTGCGACCCAGAGCACTGCCCGGGCAGTAGAAGTTGATTCTCAGGTAGGTATAGTCGCCTTCCACCGACATACTGATGTTCTGAAAAGAAAGCAGCATAGAGATGAGAGCTTTTTGATGAGAGCCTTTGGCTTTATCCAGTATGCCCCTGGTTCCAAACCCTCTCTTTCTCCACACAATCAATATATTGTCTACGGGAAAGGCTCCTGGGTTGTAGCGGCCACAGACACCATATGACTGCCTGCTGCCGTGATCAGCCCTTTCCTGCCGTACCTTAATGGTGGCAATGTGGAAAGGGGTGGCAATTCCAAAGACAGGCATGATGACCGTCTCGTATTTCTTGTCGATGTAGATCTTCATCTCCCGGATGTGAGGCTCCTTGGGCATCAAGGAGGGGTTTTTGTAGGAAACATTTGATTTACGAGCCCTGTAAGGAAGAACCAGAAAGGTGAAGAAACTGCTTCCAACAACTCATCTAAGGCTTGGTGAGATGGTAACCAACACTTGACAAGAACATTCAGCCAGCAGTAAATAAAAGTTTCTAGACCAAGAGTGGGAATCGTGCAGCCAAACGCTGGGGTTTTCTGCAGCTCTTAAAACCTGATCCCTTCCCCACCAGACAGGGTGTGTCTCCCTCTAAAACACATCAGCCAAAATCCTGTTAACAAAACCTGTACAACCACACAACAGTGACCCCACGCCGGCTGTCCTCCACATGAATGTCTGTGCACTGAAGCTTGTCCTGAGGTGGTGGAAACTCTTTAACACAGATGTCCTTCCGTAAGAATACAAGGGAAAAGCATGCAGAAGAGTTTTGGAAGACTACTGCAAGAGGTCCCGACTAGGGCGGTGGGGAACACAATTGATTTGAATTTTGGTTTATGTATTTTATGTTGTAGTTTATAATAAAATTATTTTTTATAAAAGTTTTAGCAGAGATTCTGCTTTCTCTCAAACGGGTTTTCCCCACCCAACTTTGTGGGGTTTCAATATCGAGGGGCTGGTGTGGCCCTCTGGTGGATCCGGAGGTCAATAAAACAGCCCCTGCAGCCCATCTTCAAAAAGTGCCTTTTGAATGTCTGGCAGAGGGAAGCACCAGACAAGGGACCACAGGTGTTTCCCACGCTCCTGCCTCTAGGAAGGCATCCTCACACCTTGTTGTCTTGAAGCCATGAGGGGCCACATCCGCGCCTTTCCCCGCACCCGCCTTTGACTCACTTCTGGATCTGCTGCTCTCCTTTCTGTTCTGTCAAGCGCCTGCGGGCCTCCTCATTGAGCTGTGCAGCCAGTTCTTTCTGGTGCGCCCTGCGCTTCTCTTCTGCAGTCAGCTCGTTCTAAACGGGGTGGAGGATCCACCAATGTGAAACTGGCTCACATGACACTGCGAGACCACCCTGCCTCACAGTGGACACCTCACCAGCTGGCAAGTTCCCACAGTTTCCTACCCCAATCTCCCCCTAATTCTTTCATACCCGAGTTCTTTCTGGAAGTAGGGCTGCCCGGGAACCTCTCCCAAGTAGGATTCCCTCGGTATCATCTTCTTCTTCCACTTCCTCCTCATCTTCCTTCTGTGAAAGGAATTCAGAACACAGAAGTACACACCAGTGGACACCTCACCAGCTGGCAAGTTCCCACAGTTTCCTACCCCAATCTCCCCCTAATTCTTTCATACCCGAGTTCTTTCTGGAAGTAGGGCTGCCCGGGAACCTCTCCCAAGTAGGATTCCCTCGGTATCATCTTCTTCTTCCACTTCCTCCTCATCTTCTTTCTGTGAAAGAAATTCAGAACACAGAAGTACACACACACACAAGGGGAGAGAGAGACAGAGAGAGAGAGATTATGAGAGCAAACTTGGCTTTGGTCTCCACGCTTGTTTGAGGTTATCTCTATCTGGAAATTCCCCATAAAATATGAATCAACACCTCTATAATCAAGCCTTCCAACGTCCCTGAATGCAGTTCTTCCAGTTTGTCACAAAATGGGTGCAAACCAATCCATTGTGGCTTGAGAGGGAGAAACGGCCTTTGGCCTTGCCCAGGCTGCCCCATCCCCACCCAGCTTCGGACCTTGAGGGGACACCCCGCCAGATTCACCTTGAGTAAAATGGTGACGTTCTTGACTTTCTTCTTGACGGAAGTGAGGAGGGTAGCTGGACCATCCTGAGAAAGGGGCAGGGTGGAGGGTGGGGAGAGATGGAGAGAGAAACAGACTCAGAAGAGTTTATGTTTCAGACGGTGCACAGATAAGTAATGGCCAAAGGCCAGGCCAGTGGGGTGGAGGGTGTTTCTTCTGATAAGATGCATCCAAGTCACAACACCCCCAAGGGTTTAATTTAAGTTCCCTGCTCTAAAGCCCCTGATGAATCCGGAACTGTGGAAAGATATGCAACACCAGTGCTCTTCACTCCCCCTCAGTCCCTAAAGAAAATCTGATGTGTGTAATTCTGGGGTGTCTTCCTGACTTCCTACCAGGACAGAGCTACTCTTGCTCAGCAGGCAGGCAAATGGGGGCTAAAGGATGGACTCCGTGCATGTACAGCAAACTGGTGAGGGAGGCACATCCTGGAAACCACCTGTTGGCGGTTGGACTGATGATTTTCACCTCTGATAAGTATGTGAGAAGAGAACAGGACAGCTGAAGCTTTGAGGGAAAGTTACAGTCCTGCACTCTTCTTTGCTGATATCGGTAACGAATCAAGTGGGTAGGACAAAAACGCCAACCAGGCCCCCAGCACCCCACAGTTATGTGGTACCGATGACATGCCCAATCCCCACATTCAGTCCCTTTCCAAGCGAACCAGGTGTGCAAGATTTGGGAGAGAACACAGACCAGGGTCTAAGTCCAATGCATTGTCCTAACTAGCACAGACCCAGGGAATCAACTGCTTGCTGGCACATCAATGCTGATGCAAGTCCCACTAATTCAAGGGTTTATGCTCCCATGGGAACTACCAAATGGATCCAGGCCTGGCAGAACCACCAAGACGGCTAGGTGACAATGGCCATGTTCCCAGAAAGGCAGAATCAATGACTTAATATGGGCAAAGCCTCCCTGCCCCCCGGAGGGAACATCAACACTGACAGATGGTTTGGTTCCCTTAGATAGCTGCGGTCCATTTCGTGTTTCACCCTCATTCTCCACCTCCTGGGGTTCCTCTTTCCCCTCACACTCACCTCTTCCACCAACACAGTGTCCCCAATGAACAAGGCGTACGTTTTTTCCTCTGGCTTCTTTCCTTCTTTGTTGAGCAGGTCTGAGAGTCCCACGTTGAGGCTGAACACCATCCCTGTGGCGGACAAAACACAACTTCAGAAAGGAGAGGGTGGCTTCTTGAAGGCTTTCTGGAGTGTCCACTCCCAACACATCTGGGAATCTTGGACGATAGTGCAAGGGAGAAACAAAGAAGCCCTCTCTGCACCCATCTATTTTTCCTATCCATAGCAAGGGGGAAACGTTCGCACCTTTCTTGAGACGGTACTGGTTTTTGCTGTTGATCACGAGCGAGCCTTCCCTGAACTCAATACCCATGGCAAATCTGGGGGAGAAGGAAAAAAAACACACACGGACCTCTCCAGCTATGCCTCTCGTGAGCCTGTAACCTTGTAAGAAGGCCTCTGGCCCCGAAGGCAAAGCTTTTTACCCCAAGTTCTTGGTGATTTTGTTCACGAGTTCTGGCTTCTGCTTCTTCACCATGTCCATGACAGCGGCATACACCTCACACAGCTTCACGCCTGAAAGAAAGGGAGAGAAAAAGGGGGAGGCAATTCTGCTTGAGTGCTTTCAACACGTGCCCTCCCATTCCCTGCAGGAAGCCTCTGGCCTGCTACGCCTGGCTGCATCCCCAACATCCCCATTACTCACCAGGCCGCAGTTCTTTCAGCATTTCCTCCTGCAACTGCAGCAGAAAGGCGTAGTTGTCCTGAGATTCCTGCGGTGGGTCGACCATGAGGGTGCGCACCAGATTGGAGCAGTAGGATTTGTAGCGGATGCCCATGGCGCACGTGATCGTACCAAAGTGCAAGTAGCTCTTCTCACTGGGGAGAGAGAAAGAGGTCCACACAGAGAGATGAGGACCGGGAGCTCTCCGGGCAGGCAAACCTGTACAGTCGTGCCCCGCTGGACGATTACCCCATTTAACGACAAATCCACTTAACGTTGACGTTTTTGCGATCGCTTTTGCGATTGCAAAACAATGTTTAGATCAGTTTTTTCACTTCACGTTGATCGGTTCTCTGCTTTGGGAACCGATTTTTCGCTTTACGACGATCAGCAAACAGCTGATTGTCAGGTTTCAAAATGGCCGCTGGCTGAAGAAAATAGCCCCCTCGCGGTTTTCAGGACTGATTTTTTGCTTAACAGACACCAGAAAATGGCTGCCATATGGAGGATCTTCGCTGGAGGAGCAGGTATTCAGCCCACTGGAATGCATTGAACGGTTTTCAATGCGTTTCAATGGGTTTTTTAATTTACTTGACATTTTCGCTCTACAGCGATTTTGCTGGAACAAATTAACATCGTCAAACGAGGCACCACTGTAATTGGAACTTCAGCACAGACTCCTATCATCAATCAACTCAGCTTTTATTTACCTGAGACAAAGTACTTTATGCATCGATTATCCTGAGCCGCCATTTTATAGTCTGAGCTTCCAGAAAAAGGGGTGGGGAAATATATATTTAAAAGAAAATTAAATTTACAACCTTCAGCTCTCTACTCTTCTGGCTCCAAGCAGGTATAACAGCACAGCATGATTGGCATTTGGGTGGCACGATCAGAGAACTTAGCTTCCCCTCACATCAAGTGCAATAAGCTGCAAACTGGAATATTCTAATGATGACACCAACCAATTCATTGGTCCGGATTGCTGTGAGGGTGCACGGACAGCAACATAGGAGGCGTTTTCCCCCACAGCAATTTCAATCTTCTTGATGGAAACAAATGCACCTTAAGCCCGCCGAAGTGCACCTACCTGACGACACTGAACTTGAGATTATAGTTTCCCCCACTCTGGATAATAGGAGGGTAGCACATCTCCACAGTGGAAGGGTCTGCCCCCGAAAGGTACTTCTTCTCCTCAATGGCCTTCTCTACGGACTCTGCCAGCTTGCTGTGCCGTACTTTCTGCCGAGAGATGAAGAGGATTCCACTGTCAATACAGCCTACAGGATGAGGGGTGGGTGTTACGGGGCAGGAGAGATACGCCTTCCTTGTGTTGGGTCAGATCTCTGGAGATGTGATTCCAAACCCCCTTATTCCTGAAACGCACTGGGCGGCCTTGGGCCAGCCACAGTCTATCAGCCTGACCCATATCCCTCACAGAACGGTAGTGAGGATACAGTGCGGAGGAGAGGCACCTTTGCTGTGCTCAGCACATTAAAGGGAAGGCAGAACATAAACACCTTACAACACAAAAACCCACATCTGTCCCCAGATGCTTGCACCCACATACTAAATCAGAGAAAGACTGCCACGCAGGGCTCCATTTTGCCCGACGCTTCCGCAGTGCTGGGACCTGCGTCTAGGACAGGACAGCAATGCAGATTCTGCAGTGTAGGGAGGCATAAAGGCTCTCCTGCCTCTGACCTGAGCGGCCAACCCCAGGGCCGGGATGTCTCCTCACCTCATCAGCATCCACGATCTCCATAACGCGGTCCTTCAAGAACTTGGTGAAGACCTCAGAAGTGATAGCAGCGGCTTTGCGCATCAGGGCGATCTCCCCATCCTCCTTCACAGCAATGGTGTAGGCCACCACAGCGCTGATGTCCACCTGCCTCAGAGGGAGAATAGTATAAGCAAGAGGAACCTTCCCCTCCCCCCGCCACCTGTCCCTTCCTGTGCTTGGGGCGGGGGCGGGTGGGGGGAAAATGCAGCTCTCCTCACCTTCTCAAAGCCTTCCTTGCTGAGAGCATCGTTCCAACTGTTCATAAACTCTCCGGGAAACTTGTCCTTGCTGAAGACCCCAATGCGCTTGCCATTCTTGCTGCTCTTCAGGGCTTCGATCATCTTGTCAAAGTTGGCCTTGTTGCTCTCGTTCTGGAATGGAGAGGGGGCAGAGGAGAAAGAAGGGTGGGGAAGGAGAAGGAGGTTTTTTCAGCATGCACGTCAGTCCTAAATCTCTCCCCTTTCAGATTTATAAGCAATGCAGTCTGTGCAGTTAGACAGGAGTGAGACTCGGGGTCTGCTCTGTACTGCCAACTCTGACGGGCAGTGCCCTTCCCAGGTTTTTAGGACAGAATTTCTTCCTAATTCTACTTGAGGGACCCTGTAGTTTGAACGTGGGACCTCCTATAAACCAAGGAGGGGCACTGGCCTGGACCCCAGAACCCTTGCTCACCTTCTCTCGTATCAGCAACGTGATGGCGGGCACCCCGTTGGTGCTTTCGTTGCTCTTGCTGTTGGCAATTTGCTTCAGGAACTCCACCTTCTTCTTGCTGGCCATGAAGAAGATCTTATCCTCACAGAAAACCATGATTGTGTCCGTGAGTTCGTAGCCAAAGAGCCATGTCTAAACGAGGGAAAGAACCCAGTCAGGCATACAAAGGGGTCTTTTCTACAAAACCATCACCACTGCTCCCCATGTGGAGCCCTACACAGCATGGATGGAGACCTCCGTGGTCTCTCCTGGCCTCGCTCACCTGCAGGGCAGTGGACTTGGCATAGACTGTCTCTTCGTCCACTCCCACGGAGACGACGATGGCGTCGATGGTCGCATATTCATCTTCTCCTTTCTGCCGGAGAACAAAAATCCCGTAAAGTTTCGAAATGTAAGGGTTTTACTCCATAAGACCCAAAGATCAGGCTTTTGCTACATGAAGGCACAAAGCAAATTTTATTGCCCACATGAGGAATGTTACACAGGTGGAGGATGTGACACTGGGTGCACAATACCTTTCTCAGACATGAAGAATATTAAAGAATAAAGAAATACACTTTTATCTTCTAGCAACAAGAGTGTTCCGAGTGGCCATGGGCAGAACCTGGGTGGCCTGCTCTTTCCTTGGATCATGCCCTCTTCCTCTAAACTCCACGACATCCTTATGTCACTGGGTGGGTTATTTTTCCCCCATCCCAAACTCTAAGCGCCACTTTTTCTTCCCTTTCATTGTTTCATCAGCCACAGAAACATTCTTCAACCTGGTGCCCACCACGAGGGCAGGCAGGCCGGCTAAAAAGGATGGGAAATGGCAGTCTAACAGTTGGAGGGCAAAGGCTGCTGTCCTGTGATGATAACAAAGCTTCCTGAATGAACAGTGTCATTAAAAATCCACAAGTAGCAGCTGCAATAAAATGTTGCAGCAGGCAGTTCTGCTCTACCAGATTACAGCCCCCTCTAGCCCCCACCTACAACTTTCCTGCCTATCCTCTTCCAAATGGCCTGTTCAGCCAGCTGAGCATGCTTGGTCCTCATTTGATATTTGGCGGGTTCTCCACTTATGAATTGTTGGTTTTTTTAAGCTGTGCCTCTCCAGACCTTTAGGGGGAAAATGGAGGATCCCAACATAAACAAATTAGGATAGAGGGTTGGTACAAAAGTTCTTCTTCCTCTGAATGATAGGGCTGCTAATACATCTGTCATCTCCATGGGTGGCATTATTCCAGACATAAACAAATTAGGATAGAGGGTTGGTATAAAAGTTCTTCTTTCTCTGAATGATAGGGCTGCTAATATATCTGTCATCTCCATGGGTGGCACTATTCCAGCTTATTAATGTCGGTTCCAGCTACAAAAGTGCAAACAAGCCAAGCCAGAGCGTCAGCATCCGTAAGAAACAAACAATGCCTCACAACAAACTATTGCAAGTGGAATCTTGGTGTGTTGAGCTTAGTTGAGCTTGTGGCCAAAGGGGCAGAAAAAAGAAAAGAAAAGCTGACACAAGAACAAGTGTTTCTGCTCTTGCACAAATGTACCTACTTTTCTTCTGGAACACTTTTAAAAAGGGAAAGTATTCTGTATGCTAGTTAGGTAAAGGTAAAGGTTCCCCTTGACAATTTTTGTCCAGTTGTATGCTAGTTAGTAGACCATAAATCCTCTCCATTCAATTAAGTGCTCCATTTGGCCCAGGAGTCTCAAGGGTAATGTATTCTCGAAGGCTTTCATGGGATCCAATGGTTGTTGTAAGTTTTTCAGGCTGTTTGGCCGTGCTCTCGAGATTTCGAAGGCTTTCACGCGATCCGATGGTTGTTGTAAGTTTTTCAGGCTGTTTGGCCGTGTTCTGGAGATTTTACTTCCTAACGTTTTGCCAGTCTCTGTGGCTACATCTTCAGAGGACAGGAGACAGAAGTTAGAACTCTGTCTGTGTTCTAAGTCCTGTCCTCTGAAGATGCAGGCCACAGAGACTGGCAAAACGTCAGGAAGAAACACCTCCAGAACACATCCAAAGTCAGAAAAACCTACAACAACCAGTCTCAAGGGTAGCTTACATGGCCTCTGCTCCCACTTAAAAACAACTGGGGGCTACATGCAGGCCAGGTGTAAGCTCTGCTTGTTTCTCAGCCCAGCAATCCTGCCTGTGCAAGGGGATATGTGAATTTCACTGCAGGAGTTGGAAGACTTCTCTGTAACCCCAACAAGCAATGCTGGAATTTAAAAAACTAACTAACCACCCAGGAGCCATGGCTGTACTATAATAATCCAGTGCTTCAGCATCAGCCCAACATTCAATACAGAACAGAGACTTAATGCTTTTCAGCAACACTGTAGGGCTTTTGTAAACCACTCAGAGACAGAGAATCTCTGCAGAGATGCCATGTCTCTCAGTCCCTTCCAAACTGCAAGAACCTGCATTTGCTTTCAAATTTGCATTGGCAGGATTATTTAGATATTCTATGCCAAGAAAGAGCTCAATTAGAACAAAAATTCTTCTAGTTGTTACCTTCTGGGTTTTGGAGATACAGCATACAGGTTCTGAGAAAGATGCAAGTGGCCAGTCATAGTCATATTAAAATGTCCAGTTCCTTCACCAATTTCTATGACAGTTTTCACTTCCACCATCACCAACAGCTTCTCAAGAAATTGTTATTTCTTTTTTTATACACCTCCACCTGTTTTGCTATTTCATTTTTCCCTATTCTGTCAGCTGTTTACCATTCCTCTCCCTATCATTCATTAAACACTCCACACCAGTTATTGCTTCTCCTTAAAGGAAATATATTTTTGCTTACCCATACAGCAAGCATGGAACGATGAAAATGTAGAAGTAGGGTCCATTCTCTGCACTAGCAGGGAGTTAACTAGATGGCCCTGAGAACTTTTCCAAATCTATAATTTTATGATTGTACGGGGTGCAAGGCATAACAGTTTTGCTAAACCTATCTTTCAACTCTGAGTGTAGTTTCATGAAAAATAAAGCAGAAAGTACCCAGATGTAGCATTATCAACATTTTTGCTGCTCCAGCAACAAATGTTTCCCTATCTAGATAAATTGTTTCATGAAAACAAAATCATTAATATTGATCATTTGGAGAAGCCCAAATGATTATGAATTCATTTTATGCTTTATTTTATGTTTACTTAGCCTCCTAGAGTGGTCATGGCATCAGATTGGCGGGGTACAAAATAAATAAATAAATAAATAAATAAATACATACATACATACTTAAGTTTTAATCTTAAACACACATTGATATAAGTGATATTTATATAGTGCTTTTAAACTTTTTTATCTGTTGTGAGCCACCTTGAGTCCCCTATAAATAAACATAATAAATAAATAAGATGGTTTACAATATATTGCTACAAGAACAGATGTAAAATACAATAAATTACAGCATTAAATCATCCTTAGTATACTAAAACATATACAGTTACAGTTACTAGATTTCAGAACCCTTTTAAAGCCAATTCAAGCAACACAGTAACAACAACAAAGCAGCTGCCATGAAAAGGTCTGTGATGAGTGAGTGGCCAAAGGCTTCTTTAAACGTTTCCATCTGTCAGCTGAAGAACAGAAGGGACCTGGCTAGCCTCGCCCCCCCAAAGCAAAGGGAGTACGGTAGTAGCCTGGAGTCAGTCGCCCTGCTCTGATTCTTATCAAGCATGCCTAGGAGGAGGAGGTGATAAAGATAAAAGCCTCTCCTGAGGATCTTATGATCTAGGCAGGCTCATAAAGGGAAATACAGTCCTTCAGACGCTGTAGTATCTGGCTTCAGAAAATCAGGCTAAGTCCCCTACACATGACAGATTGAAGAAGATGAAATAGTGGGGGAAATCCCTGTGCCCCAGGGGTGAACAAAGTACGATGTCCCCCCCATGGCTCCCTCATTAAAAATAATAAAATATTCCCAGAATATAAAGGTTTTTGGGTTTGGTTTGGTTTTTTGTTTTTTTTTTAGGCATCCAGAAGTGATGTTCGCTTTGGGGCCCTTGGGAAAAGCACAACACCAAAGCAAAATTGCAAGTGCCCTTCTGTCACTTCCTGTTTACGTTATGAGAAAATGGGCTTCAAATTGCCATTTTTTTCAGCTCCATGCAGCCCTCAGAGGAGGCTGGGGACACCGGCTGGTCCTACAAGCCCCTCAGATTGTTCGCCGCTGATTTACCAAGATTTAAGTCTCTGCCTCCAGGAAAAATGTGAAGGCAACAAGCTGATGGAGGAGGCTGCTGATGGACCCTTTAAAGAGCTTCAAAGGACTCTGTCTAACAGATCAACACCACCCCCACCCCGAAACCATTTGCAAACTCAAGCTGGAAGGCCCAACCTCCACAAGGTTCATCATGGAATTTCCATCTCACTTGACCAACGGTTTGGTTGATGCATCGGAGGCTTCTAAACCTGGGTCCCCAAATGTTCAAATGCCTTGCACTCTGCATTTTAATTTTTACCATATGTGCCTCTTGGAGTTTTTTTGGTTTTACTTATCTGTTTTTATGCAATAGACAATTATTATAATCTCCTTAACAGTATACGACTCAGAACAGTGCACTGCACTAATGGGGAGGTACATAAATTCAAGAAATAAACAAAATTATTCGGCACCAGGTATCAAAAGCCCCAGGAAATTTGATCAAAAAATATAGCACAACAATTTATGTTCTACATCAAATAGTAACAGATGTCACATTAAGTCTTTCCTGCTCAACATGGAAGTCCCCATTACCTCCTATAATTTCAGACCTGGCCCAATAGGTTTTCAGCCTAACAACTGCATACAAAGATCTCAGGTAACATCTTCTCCATTTCTTATCTCTTTTCCTCCAGCAGCTCATGCTTTTCTTCAAACCTACACCATGATTCAAAGCTTTAGGCCCCCAGTACCTGCTAGCACTATCATCTCTTCTACCAAAACTGCTGAAAAACAATCTGTATCTTGACCTGAATCTTCCAGAAGCCTTCTGGGGGCCCCACAGGTAACAATGGCACATTAGCCAGTTTTGACCACCACCCGTACACAGCAGCACCACAACAATGTATTTTTTCGGTATTTGTTCCCCTACCAACAGCTTATATATTCAAAGCAAAAATCTCCCCTGAGATACTAGAAATGGGGTCCTTCTGCTTCCTCCCCAATACTGAGATCAGAAAGCCTTGAGTGGGTACAAAACGTATTCAAGTCATGGCTGCAATGCATGAAAGTTACTGAGAAAATGTGGGAGGCATATAAAATGTAGCACAGGAGCAAACAAAAATGTTAAAAACCAGTGGATCAGCTATAAAGACAAGACCAAGAGGACTATAAAGCAGGTCTGAGCAAATTGACTAGATAGACGGGATATAAGTATAATAAATAAATAAATAAAACATAAAATTTAAAAAAATCACCCTCCCTCTCA